AGATAGATAGATAGATAAGATAGATAGATAGACGGATAGATAGATAGCAGATACTAGTAAGGTCTGCTCACCATGGAATGGCCAATCATTCAAGATCAAAAAGGCAACACTGACGTAAGGACAACATTGAGAAGGGAGGAGGAGGAGAGAATGGAAACAGGAACCAAAGTGAGATCGCTGTTGTTGCGTGGAGGGGATTGCAAACGTTGAAATGAAACAAAGGGCAGGATTTGTTGAATGCAAAACTCATGATCTTACCTGTTAACCTTCACTCAATTCACAATAAAAAGTTCAAAAAACAAAAAACTACCCCTTAAATTAACTTTTTCAATAAACTGGCTAAAAAGAGTCTTTTGATCAAAGATGTTGAGGGATTTTATTTTGTCTTTAATGTAAGGGGAACACATTTATGGGTTTATATCTTTTTCAATTGTCATACAATATTTATATGCTACTCAACACAATACTTCGTTTAAATTACATTTTAAGGGACTTTAACTATAAATTATATTCTGAAGAAATGTTTTTAAAGTATAAGTTTTAAAATATTTTATATCTTTCAAATGTACATTTCTATTAAACATGTGCATGGCCTTTCTAGAAAATAAAGGTAAGAAAGTCTTTTGTCTTCCTTCTCATACATGATTTGTAAGAATCTGCAGAACATTTTACCAATTCTCTCAGGTTTGCGGGAGTCGCTGTTCTTGCTGATGCTTGAAGTGGAACCAGATGAAAGGACAATTTGTGTTACCTGGAACAGACTTGTGGAAGTTCAAGTAGGAAACGGGCATGTTTTATATATAATTTGTATAGATTCCACAGTACTTGCAAAAACTGGGCCAAAATTACCATACCAAAAAAAAGATGAAAACAAGTTTGAAAAGAAAATTTTGTAAAATGTGAAAAAGGGTTAAATGTCTAACTATGCAAATCCATTAGAAAGTGCTCTCTGGCTACAGCAGTGTGCACTGAAATGGGTCCTGCCTCTTCCAGATGGAAGAGTCAAGAGCAGGGCATAATTGACCACATCTCGTTTCTCTTGCCTTGGCAACAATTTTAGATCACACAGAAAGGCCCTTCCTTAGGGTGGGACTGTGGAGTAGACAGTATCTGGCAACCAACCTGAAATGAATGGTTACCAAGAGAATCCAATTTACACACATATAAACACACTCCTGTATGTAGCACTGTAGGCTAAGCACGGGACTGCTAGCGGCATGACTGGTGGATCAAACCAACCAGCTGTTCCTCGGAAACCCTATACAAGGTGGCTGTGAGGCTTAACCGACTCGACAGAACTTCATAACAACAACAACAACAACAGCAAACACACTCCATCTGGATTTGGGGGATTGTTCCTACTGACGGCAGCACATTCTGTATTTGATGCTAGGTCATGGTACCTCCTACAGCAAAACTAAATTTTGATGTTACCATTCCAAGTTGTCTATAGCTTCCTTGACCACATCATCATCTTCCAGTCTTTTCCTAACTTGGCAGGCCAACCTGTCCCCTGGTTACTGCATGGGGAGCCATATAGCTCTGTATCTATCCAATCTCCACGTTTTTGTTCATACTTTTCCATCTTCCTGGAGTAACTTCTTTAATCCTCCTCTAATCCAAGTTAAAGGGGCCCTCAAGGAATAGTGGGTTATAAGTATGGCTGCTAACTGCCAGGTCAGCAGTTCAAAGTGACCATCTCTTCTGCAGGAGAAAGATGAGGCTTTCTGCTCCCATAAAGATTCACAGCCTTGGAAACTCTATGCAGAGCCTCTGTGAGTCAGAACAGATTCATCAGCATACAACCACTACCAACTCCAACACTAATTAGCATCATAATGCTTGCTTCACAATTGACAAATTCTGCCTACAATGATCTCCAGATTCTGCCAAATTTCCAAAGCTCTAGGATCCTATGCCTCCTACGTGCAGGATCCTTTGAATCAATCTCTGGCTTGTTTGGGTGCACCATTGTCTCTCCAATGATATTAGCATAGTCTCTTTCAATGCCTCCCAGTGTTCCACAGAGAGTTAGGCATAGAGTATGAGATAATAATCTGCATATTCAAATCTATCCAATTATTCATATATCGTTCACCAACTCATTTAAAAAAAAGTCAAGCACCAGACAGGATATGGGGCCCTAGACATCCATTTTTAAAAGTCCAAAATATAGAGACATGAATGCACCACCCTAGCACTAAAGACATTAAACTGGGACAACAAAATGTGCTCTAGTGAAGAGATGATCTGAAAGAGGAGGCAGTGACTTTTGGTTGGTGTGAGCGGAAAAGGAGCCTACAGCAAAAGTACATTTCTGTCTCTCTTTCATTCAACATACACTGAGTGTTTGCCTGAATGATACCAGGTCTGTAAGGACATACTGAGCCAAAAAGTTGGAAGGGTACCCTCTCTACTTACTTTCCAAAAGACAGCGAGAAAATCAACAATTACAGCACAGTCTCAAAGAAAAAATCAATAGTACCTTGAAAAGATTATAATAGATGTTCTCACTTTTACTGCTTTGGATTAGTAAGGATATCATTCATGTTACGATATCATCATGAGCATTTCACATTTAGTAAAAAGTAAGCAAGAAGGCAAATGGCATTGTGTATGTCTGACTTCCCTTAAGAATGGCTCACAGAAAAAAAAAAGAAAGAAAGAAAGAAAAAGCTTTCATGGTTGATCGATCATTTACAAAAAACAAAGTCAAAAACATAAATTGTAATTAACACAGCTGTATACATTACTCACTATTTACCGAGTTAAAAATCCAATGTTTCATTTAGAGAAGAGTGAAAGATCATCCAAACAGCTCGTTAAAATAAATACCTCCTGAAGCTTTTTGTGCAATCATGAGTCAGGGTCAACTACAAGGCAGCTCCAACAACAAAACAACTAAGCTTTTTCATTATGATTGGTACATAATTGTTGGTTATTTTAACTCTAATCTAAATGGTTTCCATGGAATTATTTTAACTGAAATACATCTAATTTTGCTCAATCCTATACAGAGCTCGGAGTCCTTATTGCAAGGTTGATTTGAACTGCAAGGTCAGTGGTTCAAACTTTGGAGATCCTATGCAGGAACTGACTCAATGGCACTTAACAACAACAGCAATACAGAGCTCCATACTGTAAGCCCTGGATTGAGAACCACAAGGTTGATGGTTCGAGCCTCAGGAGAAAGATAAGGCTTTCTGCTCCTGCAAAGACGTATAGCCTCAGAAAACCTAACTTAACTGTTGTGAAGTGCCATCAAGTTGGTTCCGACTCATAGCGATCGCGTATTGGTTTCCATGGAACATCTGGTGAGCTTAAACTGCCAACCTTGCGGTTCAAACCAACCTTGCAGGCGAGCGCATTAACCCACAGCACCATACCAGGACTCCAGCAGCAACATACAGTGCCCCAATTTGCTCTGGATTTTAAGGTAGCTTTTCTTAAAAGCTTGTAAACTTTATAAGCAACTTCTTGCATCCCAACTCTTGTTCCTTTAACAGAAGAGTAGGGCGACTTCTTCTCAAGTCAATTTCCATGAGTAAACACACAGTGAAAGACACAAAGTGCTTCACAGACACAAAGGGGAGTCATCAGAGTCCATTTCTTCAATGAGTTTATAATGTGTAACTGGGATCTAGAAAGTCTCAAAAAAAAGGCAATTGACTGGTCCAAGAAAATTATGGTTATCTGGCCAAATAGGCTCCCAAATTACCTGTGTGCTAAGAAGAATGATGCCTTAAGTTACTCATTTCCTCTGGTTACAGCAGGTCAGACAGAGAGAAAAATAGCCAACGTGTTGGTCCTGGCCCACATAAAACCCAACTAACTAAGAAATGCTTCCTTCTTTATCTAGAAAACTTTCTTTCAGCTTCTTCTTCCATCAGTCAACTGCTAATGAAAATCACAAGCAAACTCAAGGCGACCCCATATGTATCAGAGTAGAACCGTGCTCCATAGGGTTTAAAACAGCAGCCAAGTGGTTAAACATATGCAACCGCCCAGGGCTCTCAACCACAAATGCAAACCGTCTCTCTTTCATTGAGGCTGTGCCAGTCCACAACACAGAATTTTACACACTTACACATTTTAAACAGAAAGCAATGATAAAAACCCTCTAAATAATAATATACACAAAAAATCTCCAAATGCTATATATTGTACACACTTGGAGCCTTGGTGTGTGGTACTGTGGGTTAATGTGCCAGACTGTAAAGCCATTTGAACTGCAAGGTTGGTGGTTCACACGCACCTGCTGCTCCTCGGAAACCCTATACAGGGTCATTATGGGTCAGAACCAACTCGACGGCACGTAACAACACCACCAACAACATACACATACACAAGGGGCTTCAAGAAAGTATGTGGAAAAAATTTCATCATCTTTTCATTCCATTTTTCCACAAACTTTCTGACACCTATGTATACATATTGAGAAAGTGATAGAGTCTTTCAGAGGTCTCAAAATTCAGAGGAAATAAAAACAAGAAATGCTTTAGACATTAAACAAAACAGCATGAAACTGCCATATTCAATTGATAAAAGATTACAATTTCTTATACAGGTATTATTTATTTCTCAGGCTCCCACACTATTTAATCAACTCAGATAATTTGTTTTGTTTTTTTCAATATTTGAGGACATGGTGAAATAGATTTACTCTGAGTATTTTGATAAACTATACTGTGCAATGCATTAGAAAATGAACATTTGCCATATTTCCTCTTAGAAAATATGTTTTCAAAGTAATTCTGCAGATTTTTGCTTCTCTACTTGATCGCAGAGATGTGCGAACACCATGCATCAATGACTATCTGTTGTTAAAGAAACGTACCCAGATGCTGTCTTCCTGGCGGTATAGTTTCCAGTTCCTGCCACTGTCGCTGAACATCAGCAGGTAGCTGGTCACCCAGTTGGAACTCCCGTACCCGCCTTGGGTGGCAATGGCAGTGACCTCCATTCTCTCTCCAATGTCGACCTGCAACCACTGGTATTTGTTGGACACAAGAGGAGACCAGCCTCCAGCTCCTTTTATGAAAACAGAAATAGGGGGAAATAGGTGAAGAAAATTCATGTGGAAAACTGTGTGTTCTTGAGTACTGGGAAATGAAAACTGGGAGGCTGCTGGGTATTCAGTAAGGATGGGGCAAGCAGAATTCAGTCTGCTTTGTTTTATACAACAACATACGCAAGTATTAGAGTATTAGAGATGCGCTTGTAAAACTGAGGACAAAAACATCTTAAGATTGTGGTTGGTAAGCGCCACCAAGTCAGTTCCAACCCATAGCGACCCTGTACAGGATGTCTGAGGAGCAGCTGGTGGGTTTGAACTGCCGACCTTATGATTCTCAGATTAAGTAAGTTTAAGGAGTCCTAGTGTGGTGCTGTGGGGTTAATGTGCCAGACTGCAAGCCGTTTGTACTGCAAAGTTGGTAGTTCAAGCTCACCAGCTGCTGCCTGGAAACCCTATACAGGGTCGCTATGGGTCAGAACTGACTTGATGGCACTTCACAACAACAACAACAATATAGTAATGTTTTCTAGTTGGTACCTATTGATTTTAAGTAAGATTGACTTTGATGAATATGTTATTAACATATACTGTTTTTTTTGGGGGGTAGGGCATATCCTCTTGAATCTTGAGTTCCCTAATGTTCAATATCTATTAAAATTCAGCTCTGGTAGCGTAGTGGTTATGAATCGGGCTGTGAACAGCAAGGTCAGCAGTTCGAAACTACCAGCGTTCCGCGGGAGAAAGATGAGGCGTTCTGATCCCGTAAAGATTTACAGCCTCGGAAACCCTGTGTAGGGTCGCTATGAGTTGGAACCGACTCCACGGCACTTAACAACAACAACAACAACTACTAAATAAGAATATTAGCAAATGTAGTGTTTCTCCCATTGTCTTGCCAGCTCTGATAATAAGAGCGGAACTTTTAGATAAAAATTAACATTCATTATCTACAATGTCTCTTTCACTCAAACATCATTCTTGACAAGGTGGCCCAAGGTGGTCTTGTAAGATTTGTTGAGCCTTGAGCACAGTCCCCAGTGGGGGGGAAAGTCTCCAAAATGTTTGCTATTTTGGTTAAGGAGTACATGTCATTGTGAATCATGAAGGAACACAACTGCTTTGACAATATCCTCCCTTGATGATGCCCTGTGAACTCGTGTCTGCGTTAGCAGGGCATGACCCCCAAGGTGACTAACTACAATGCTTTTACAACTAGACACCTGTTTCCAATTGTTTTCTTTCTTGGAGAGAATCATTATTCAAAAGTGTATTTAGTACCCCATAAATCAAACGTAAAATGCGCATCCTCCTTTTTGATCCAGCATATTTATCATACTGCAATTTTTGTTGGTCTGTTTTTGCTTCTTTTCTATGTAATTTACTTTCAGAGAGTCTGTATTTGTTGGCTAGCAAACACAATGGCGCAGTTCCCATAGTCACCAATACTGTTTCCATGGTTTATGTTGCCGTGAAATGTTCTCCTATTTTAAACAAGAGGGCTTGTTGGGCAGCCCTGGGTCCTGACTGAATCTGGATGTCTTGGTGTCACTTAGTTAGCACAGTTCTCCTGTCCACAAGGGGCCTCTTGTACGCTTGCAGCCTGTTACCTACATGAAGGAGAGTGTGTCCTTTCATGATCTGAAGCACGCCTTACATTGTACACAATTAGCTGCCACAAATAGCTCAGGAAGTTCCTGAACCCTCTGTGGGAACTACTCGCATAGTATTTAAATCTGTGTCAAGTCTTCCTTCACTTTTCATTCATCAGGATGGAAAGGCACATCACCCAACCTCCTTCACTTATTTTACTATGACATTTGTTGTTGTTAAGTGCTATCAAGTTGGTTCCGACTCATAGTGACCCTGTATCGGATTTCAAAGAAGCAGCTGGTGAGTTTGAAACACTGACCTTGTGGTTCACAGACCAGTGCTGATCCTACAGTGCCACATGGCATTACTTCATTAATGGCAGCTAACCAAAAGATGAGCTGTTAGAACCCACCAGTCACACCCCGCTGGAAGAACAGACTGGAAGATTTATTCCCATAAAGGGTAGTTCACTGCTATGGAGTCAATCCTGAGTCCTAGCCACCTTACAGGACAGGGGAGAGCTGCTCCAAACAGTTTAGGAGACTGGAAGGAGGAGTCCTGAGGTGGTGCTGTGGGTTAATGTGCCAGACTGCAAAGCCCTTTGAACTGTGAGGCGGCAGTTCAAGCTCACCAGCTGCTCCTTGGAAACCCTATAGAGGGTCGCTATGGGTCGGAACCAACTCGATGGCACTTAACAACAACAACAACGCGCTGTTGGATAAGCACTGGACCGCAGAGCTAGCTTGAACTGCAAGGTTAGCGGTTCAAACTCACCAGCTGCTCTTTGGAAACCCTATACAGGTTCCAACTCAATGGCACTTAACAGAAACAACAAATCTATAGAAAGCAGACAGCTTCATCTTTCTCCCATGGCATGGAAGGTGGGTTTGAACTGTCAGCCTTGAGGTTAGCAGCACACTTCTTAACCCACTGTGCCTAGGAAACCGTATGGGACATTTCTTCTCTATCATGTAGGTTTGGAACCAACTTGAAGGCACGCAATAACAACACCCGTGGTCCCCTCTAATCGTACTATTCTGCCCTGGGACCTTCAAAATCTGGAAGACAAAAGTTCTTCTATGATCTGCTGTCACACAAGCATCCTTAGCCCCCTTATTGCTACAACTGTGTCATCTCTCTATACTGTTACCAGGTTTGCAAAGAAAAGTTGGGAATGGGTAAATGAGGCGCCCACCTCCACCCCACCCGACAGCATCTTAACCTGGAAGTTTTACACTTAGACTTTTCTATACATCACTTTACACCTTTGAGGAAAGGCAGATTTGTTTACTTCTGGTTCTCTGTAGTTCTTTTTAATAGTCCAAAGTCAGGATTGACAATACATTTTTTTTTTCAATCTTGAATTTCATTCTATTTCTCTGAACTGGAAGCTTCTTCATAGACTGGTATTTAAAAAGCGAACACATGAGAGGAACCGGGTGTCCAAAAAAGAATCAGGCATAAGTGTAGTGAGCCAAAATTGGATCATCAATTCTCATCAGGAGGGCCCGGAATCCCTTGCTGACCGCTCCCAGTTACAGCAGCACTAAGCAACTTGAAGCATTCCCAGTTAATTGACCTTGAACATTTCAATTTCTTACCTGTGGTGAAAAGGTACTACTGGTATGCAAATTAAGCGATATCATTAACAAGGTACACTGATAAAGTAATGGAAGTTCAGGCGCTTCGAGGCTTTTACCAAGTAATTTCAGCCGAATGAGCCGGCCACAGGGAGCACACCGATCCCTGCTGAGTTCTAATTCTGCGCAGCTTCACACACACACACACACACACACACACGTGGAACAAGCGTGTGTTATGTTTGTTCTACTTTTAAGACAAAAAGACTCCATAGTGATAAGAAAATTGCAAAAACGATGGTCCCTAGTGGATTCTGGGAGTTCTGATGGCACTGTAGGATAAGCACTGGCCTCCCAACCGCACGATCAGCAGTTCAAACCCACCAGCTGCTCCGCAGTGAGGCTTTCTGCTCTCGTAAGGATGTACAGCCTCAGAAACCCCATACAGAGCTTCTATGAGTCAAAATCAACTCAATGGCAGAGGCGTTTTTGATGGCCAGACTCTGGAAAATCAGCCTATGATGGCAGGAAGGGGTGATACTGAAATGAATGGCAATCACAGATGTGGTAGACTCCACCAGCCCGAAGACCATCACCAAAGCGTTCACAAGACACACTATTGTCATACTGACTTCTGAATGGAAAAAAAGATGGGTAACTCACAGGATTATTTAAGCTTTCAATGATGCAAAAATAAAATATAATACAGTTTTATTTATTTGCTAGATCTTTTCGGCTGCTGGTCAAGTATTATTTGTCTAATGATTCATTTGGTTTGGTTTTGTTAGCTGCTGTCCAGCGGCTCCAGCAGAATGAAACACTTCTGGTACTGCGCCATCTTCAAGGACACTGATACACTTGAGTCCCCTGTTCAGCCAGTCTGTGTTCTGAGCTCCTTCTACCCAAGGGGCTAGGCTCCCAGCACTGTGTTGTTCCATTCCATCACATCAGTTCAGACTCCCAGTGGCTCCACATACAGCAGTCCCGTACCATCCTCACATCTGCTGAGCTGCTTGAGCCCATTGCAGCTGCTACTGTGACAATCCATCTCGTTGGGGCTCTTCCTCTTTTCTTCTGACCCTCTGCTTTGCCAAGCATGATGTCCTTCTCCAGGGACTAGTCCCTCCTGATAGTATTTCTAAAGTACGGAAGATGGGGTCTGACAATCCTCACATCTAAGGAACATTCTGAGTGTACTTCTCCTAAGGCAGATTTGCTTATTCTTCTGGCAGTCCATGGTACAGTCAGTATTTTTTTTGTGTGCCAACAACAAAATTCAAATACACCAATTCTTCCACCTTATCCAGAATTTGCATGCATGTAAAGCAAATGAAAATAATATATAGATTGGGTCAGGTGTACCTTAATCCTCAAAGTGACATCTGTGCTCTTGAACACCTTACAAGTGTCTTTTTCAGTACCAGATTGAACAATTATTCTGTTGTGATCCATAGTGTTTCCAGTGGTAATTTCTAGATGTAGATCAGCAGAACTTTCTTCTTAATCTATCTTACTTTGGAAACTCCACTCAAACCTTCACCATGGTGACTCTGTTGGTATTTGTAATACCAGATGCATAGCTTCCAGTATCATGATGACATGCAGGCCACCACAGCATGACACCCTGAGACAGTGGGAAGTGACCCACTTGTTGTTGTTGTTGAGTGCCATCGAGTTGGTTCCAACCTACAGCTAACCTGTAAGGGTTGCTGAGGAGTGGCTGGTGAGCTTGAACAGCTGACTTTGTGGTTTGAACCAACTTTGCAGTCCAGTTTATTAACCCACAGCACCACACCACGACACCAAATGATCTACTTAGAACATCACAAAACCACCAACCCTGA